TATACTGTCCAACGAGTTAGACGAGTTGGACGTTCTTTGCTTCTGAAAACATCTTGCCTGGGTCGTCATTTCATAATCCTTTTAGTCTATCTTTCATTAGGCATCCTCGCGATATGTTCGGTCCAATTCTATTTGAAGCATGTTATCCTCTTCACTGCGTCTGTGACTCTAACCCTTCTACGGATTTATTCATTTGGGACTTTATCTCTTAATGTGATTCCTAGAATGGAGCGTTCCATGCCCCGTTGGGCCACTTCAATCTTGTAAATAGATTTTCGTGTTAAAGTTAAAATTTCCGAACCATAAGTCTAGACCGGCAAGATGACCGGCACACTGATCAAACACTTTACGCTTGAAGCATATGAGAAATTCAGATTTGAAGACATGCCTCAACTTCCCAAAAGCTGCTCACGCCAATTCAATACGTTTTCCGATCTCGCAAGTCTATCTCTGCTAATTCTGATCTCGCGGCCTAGATACTTGCAAGATGTGACCTGAACAATTTCCTTATCTTTTATCAAGATATTTTGGCTAGGGATCAGATTCGTCATAAATTGTCTTGTATTTATTTTGAGCCCAATTTTATGTGAGGCTGTTAATCTTACAAGTAATGTCTCTGCCTTTTCTAAGGCTATCCGAAATCAGCACAATATCATTAGCAAAGCATAGATGATTTAGTTTTTCTCCATCTATATTTATCCCCATGTTAATCTTTCTTGAACATGTAAAAGGGTGTTAAACAATTTAAGGGAGACTTTGACAGATACCACATTCTATTTTGAATTTATCTGTTTCTTCGTGTACCCTTACACATGCTGTTGCTCTCCTGTAAATGTGTTACAATATTGTAGAGTACCTATGGTCTACATTCGGCTAGCGCTTTGAACAATTCGTTGTATTTAATGGAATCGAATCCTTCTCATAATCCACAAATATTAATGAGTGGTTTGTTATATTCAATGAATTTTTCGATTAATATTTTGACTGCATAATGGTTAAAAAAATATTTCAATGTAAATATTTATTTTTTTCCATCATAGATAAATAATTGTCGATTAATATTGATAAATATACAGGATATTTTATTTTAAATAATAAAAAAATTAATAATTTAAAAAAATGGTGACCACAAAAAATCTCGACAATGATGCTCTCTACGAATAAATCAATATCGTAACCATATATTTTCTCGAAGCTCATATAACTTTCATGTTTATTTTTAAGATGCATTGTTCAAAAGATATTAAAATACATTATTTAAAATGGGATACTTTATAACGACTTATATACTATTATGTTTATAATTTAAATACTTCATGACAAAAAATAGTTAAATCATGCATATTACACATCATAGAGAATGAAACGAGATTTTTTTGTTTATGTACAGATTTGATCATGTTAATTTTAAACATGTTAAATAAAAATAAAATATGAACAATTACATATTTTTTTTGCAAATCATCTACTGATACATAATAAATGTTAAAAAAAAACTGTCAAAAAAGAATTAGATAATTAAAAACTAATATTTCGTTAAATTAATACACACACATTTATATATATATAAATGATATGTTAATTTCTTATTTGAATTGTTAGCTTATTAAGCAAATTCCAAAAATATGTTATAAAATAATTTCTAACAATTTACACAAAGCGTAGCGAAAGAGTTAATACCAGTCAGCGTTATGCGTTATATACACAATTTATGAATAACGTACATAGGCTATTTTAATTTATATGTAACAGATAAATGATAAAATATGTAACAGGTAAATGATAAAAAGCAAATATCCAGTTTTTCTTGGTTGTATGCATGATAAATTATACATAAAGCGATTTAAATATTTTTAAGCGTAGATGCTCAACGCCGCAGAAAAATATGCTGTCATCTTTCGCATTGTAGATATGCCATATAAAACACAAAAAGTCTTTATTCTTCACTCGAAACTCTAACGTCATCCTTGGCTCATACCTCATCGATGACGCCGACAATAACAGACCTTTTCTTACGATATATTGCACTCTCGGCATCGTAATCACACTATGTATAGGATCAATGTGTAATCTGCCAATATTGCAATAATTTCTCTCCCTTCGGTAGTGCCATAGAGGTCGGCCTCTCGAATGTCAGCATGATATCTTTGACTTTGGTCTTTAATTCGTTTTCGAAGAGATGACCACCAGTGCGCTCTAATGCTGATGCCATGTCGTACTCGACCGAGGGCAATGGTTCATGAATAAAACGCGCTGCGGTGGCGATGCTGGGTAAAATATGTGACTGCAATACTCGAATTTCCCAAAGACTACTGAGCAACGCATTGCTCAGCAATGGGTCGCGCTCTTCCATCAAAAATGGATCACCTGCTCCAGTACTCGATGGTGGGGCCTCGCCGCCTTGTGGATGATCAATTAGCCTCTTTAGCCCTGGATGTCGGAGCAACAGATTGCCCACAAAAAGCAGAATTATCAAAATATCCTCCGGTGGCGCGACTAATGTTAAACGCGCAAGTCGCTTCGCAAACGCTGCTACTAACGCTTCCGGCAGATGTCTGAATAATGGAAAAAATATCGAGTTTTTAAATTCCATCATATACCGACTTTTATTCTCTACATTCTTGGATCTTATATTCTCTTAATTTTTGTAGTATGCACAATTCTACTAAAAATCTAAAATACTTACGTTGAGCTAAGAAATAGATCTGACAAGTAGAACAAACGGGCCTTGTACTTCGTATGAAAAATTTCAGGCTCGAACATCGAATACAACTTAGTGAAAATATTCGGATATTCTAAGTTGTGTTTGGTGACGAGTATGAATACGCCTTGCAATGCGAGTACACCGATGGGACCATTCACATCTAACGAGTCCATCAGAAAGTCAGTTAACAATACTGGTTTTTCTAAATGTGACATGACTCGTTCCAATAATACTATTAACAACTGTTTATGTAAGTGTGGCGTTAATTCCCAGTGCATAACACAGGCCCAGACCTTATTTAACGCGCGTTTAACGTTTGATTGATCCCATGTAAATGCAGCATCTAAAAAATTTAAGATGTACATCAATAATGTAAAAATATAACTAATGATAATATTTGGACTATCTTATTACCTTGTTGCGGTCCACATAAAAGTTCTTTATTATCCGACATTTTAGATACTGAAATATATAAAAATCACTTAGAATTGTATTATTTGTTCTTATAAAAAATTATTCATTATATTAATTTTAAATTATACATTTGCATTTATAAAAATTTTATATTAAGTACTTAAATAGAGTATCTGAAGATAGAGAATGGAATAGAGAATGTTAAGAATTAAGAAGATATGATATTCAAAAGGTTACACATAGTAAATAGTAATTAACTATCTCATATCTATAATTTTTAATCAATTTTCAACATCAAGTAGTGATAATTCAATATAGCTGTATAAAACGCATATAATTATATTTTCTAGCATCAGCTCAGATCAGCGCAGTGTGAATCTTAGAAATATACCTTCTTCCTCTTTTGGCAGTGGTATTTTATCTATAAGCTCCAACAGATTTTTAATATAAACTTCTTTTGGTTGTCTTTTTGGAGTGAGAGAAGGCAGGCATCGCCATGTGTAATATAAAGCATCAGGATAATAGGTGATTTCTTGAAATCTCGATATTAAATTAATATTGTCCTTTTCGGGAGACAATAGAGTCATGAGAATAGGTTTCAAACGATGCAGGGGAAAATGATATCCCGAATTATCACGCGGTTCTAATGGTGCTTTGCCTTCTTCCGCCATCAGTTTCATTGCAGTTGTAAGGGCTTGTACTTGAATAGCTAATCGACTTTTTTCCATAGTTGCTAATATTTTCTTCCAAACTTCCTCATAGCAATTTTTTAACCAAGTAGTATAACGAGATTCTGGACTAGGTTCTATAATGTTAATATTAAAATATATACCTTTAAATATAATCTATAGATACGTTGCATATAATATAGAATATAAATACTTGCACATGCATAATAAATCTGTTCTTTGTAACTGATTATACTTTCTATATTTAAAATAGAATAGATATATACCTAAACATCAAAAAGAAACAAAAATTAAAATTCTAACTATAAGGAACAATCTTAATACTCTTCCTCTCTATTTGCAAATAATATAAAATTTAAGCCAGCAAGCTGCTATTCAGGCTTACCTGAAATGGTAAGGGTTACTGCATGTTCGACATACATGTCGCCGCGCTTCAGCACTTCCACAAATATCGTCTCTACCGTAAGCAGGCATGGACAAGTGGACTCCTGCAAATAAAAGATTTGTTATTAGAGGCTTGTTCTCGAACAATCAGGAAATATAAAGTCGACTTGCCACATAAGTTTAGGCTACGTTCAGAAATATCACCCGAGTGATTTCGTGTTGTTCATCGAATGGTAACAGATTTAAACAAGGATAAGACGATACACGGAATCACTCGGGTGGTGGTTCCGAACGTAGTCCTACTTACATCCCAGTGGCTGATTATGTCCACCAGGTTGTTCGCGTGTTTCCGCGAGGCAAGGAACTCCTGTGCACGTTGCCTCAGCATCCTCGATATCGCTCTCTGGCTCGTGGAGGCACCCGGTAAATTCGACGCGTCGGTCATCGCTACCGATCTTATCACGTAGCTCTCAGAATACTTTGTAGGATTACGCTAATGGCAGCAGATAGCCGAGGGTGGCCGACGATGTGAACAGCTGTTCCGGTGCCGCTACCCTTCACAGAATATCACACGTCTTCTACTTAGATGCGACTGGAAAAAATCACCATGTCTGGCCCCGTCGTCTAAGTTAGGTTAGGTTAGGTTACTCGCACTAAGGTTGGGCTAAGTAAGGTAATTGAAATATGCGCTGCGTTGGCTTTTAAGCCTGTATCGGACTGAAAATTATAGGAAGTCGATTACAAATAAGAGCTATATTCCAAAATTTACTACTAACGCTGTTAAATGTATAATATACATCACACGTTATTAATATATAATGTATATTATGTGTTAATGTATAATGTATGTTATTGGTGATTTTTTATTTCTCATCTTGTATCATTCACCTTGTGTGGTGTGATACGTGCTTAAAGCTCATGAAAAATTTCAAACCTGCCGCTCTCAATCACGGAAATAAGGAGTAATAATTATTTCGGATGTTCAACATGATTATTTCGTAATCGTCTGAACTACAACTGTTCAAAAGGAATAATAATACTTTATTTCATAGTAATAATTGTCGGTAAGTATTAGAACAAAGAATGTATATTCATATTTATACTTTTTATCATATGTTCTTCACGTTAGCTCCGTTACATCACGTTTGCGCGACATGAAATAGCATTTTTAACGTGTCACCCTTATTATGCATTAGTCTTGCGACTATAGATCAATAAATCTGTTATCAGCATTCTGCCATTGCCTATACCAATGTTATTCACAGAGCTTATTTTAATAACACTTGTGTACACAATTATAAATCCAGATGGCCAAATCTAGATCAGATTTTGCAAAATGCTTGCTACAATTTTATTGGCAGAAAGATTACAAAGGATATAAAATTTGACATATAACAATGCTGCCAGCATGCTGGCAAGAATATAGCATAATTTATAAATTGATGACAGAGATCGAGGAGGTTTTTATTACATAATTTGATATAGATAGGGATAGAGATAGAATAAAACTAACTACAAATATATAGAACAAAATCTATGTTTGACGTATCTGTTTGCTGTTCAGTTTTTCTCACTAATTTGTTGTCTATATATAATTTTTATATATATATATATATATATATATATAATATCTACATATTTATAACAAGTTTTGTAATGAAACTGTAATGAAACAACAAGTTTAATCTAGATGATTTGGTCTGTTATATATTATAAACAAGTTTGCTATTAATTTGTCTTATTTCAGAGAAATTGCTTATTTTAATGACTAATAGTTAACTGAGCTATTTCAAAATAAGCATATGAATAATGATTAAAAACAATATAAATAGGAAACATTTAAAGATACTGGCAAACAAAATGTCTATAGATTGGCAACAGATACATTTAAAATATTGCAACAAATCAAATATTATTTATATTTGCAATAAACTTATATTTTGACAGAGAGAGAAATTAAAGAACAATGAAGATGACAACAGTTCCAGCTAAGCATACTCTTCACAGTGGAATTTTTCATCCTGTCCTACGACAGTGGCAGTCACCAAATATTGAAATCACTGTTAACAATCTTATGTATCCAATATTTGTTTCGTAAGTATAATTTGATTACTATAACATGATATATAATTGTGCATATATTTTTGTTAAATATTCATGTGTATGTATTTTACAAATATATAATTATAAATATATAAGACAAAATTTATTAATCCAAAAAAAAAATATATATATATTGTTATATAAGACTTGCTTTATATGTGATTATAGAGACGAAGAAAATGCTAAAGATGTTATTAACAGCATGCCTGGTGTATATCGCTATGGAATTAATCAGTTAGAAAAAATGTTGCAACCTTTAGTGGCCAAAGGTTTACAATCTGTTTTATTATTTGGTGTATCACAACATCTTGAAAAGGTAACTTTTATTAAATGCAATTTCACAATATAATGGGAGAATTTATTATTATATATATATATATATATATATATATATATATATATCTTACTCAATTTTTTATTTTAGGATCAGATTGGAAGTAATGCAGATAGTGCAAGGAATCCTATTATTCAAGCTGTACCATTATTACGAGAAAAATTCCCTAATTTGTTAATAGCGTGTGATGTTTGTTTATGCCCGTATACAAGTCATGGACACTGTGGTATTCTCAACAATGATGGTAGTATAAATAACACAAGTAGTATTCAACGAATCGCTGAAGTTGCCGTATCATACGCAAAAGCTGGTAAGAAATTACGTGCTTTTGAAAATTATTTTTAAAGTATTAATTTTTTCTCTTTGTAAATATTTGTAATGCATTACAGGTGCGCAAATCGTTGCACCATCTGATATGATGGATGGTAGAATAAGCGCGATAAAGCACGGCTTAGCTGCTGCTGGATACTCAAATAAAATAGCAGTTTTATCATATGCTGTAAAGTTTGCATCAGGACTTTATGGGCCTTTTCGGGACGCGTCGCAGTCTGCACCACAATTTGGTGATCGCAAGTGCTATCAATTACCTCCTGGTAGCAATGGTTTAGCAGCTAGAGCTGCTGTAAGTTTTGTTCCACTTATAATAAATCCTTTATTTATTAGGATTAGCATTTTTATAATTATGAAGAATATTAAACAATAATCTGCAGACAGTAATAATATGATTAATATTTTATTCTGTAAAATCATGTCCATTAAAATTTCATGAGAATTGATATTCAACATACAAATTATATATATGTGTTCCAAATATAAATATAAATATATTCCAAATATAAATATATGAAACATTTTATTTTTTCAAAGACAAGAGATGTGGATGAAGGAGCGGACATGTTAATGGTGAAGCCAGGATTACCTTACTTGGACGTAGTGCGGCATACAAAAGATGCACATCCGGAATATCCTTTATTTGTATATCAAGTGTCTGGAGAATATGCTATGCTGTATCACGGAGCACAAAACGGTGCGATCAATTTAGAAAATGTATTGAACGAGATATTGCTTTCTATGAGAAGGGCGGGCGCCGATTGTATTATAACGTATTTCACGCCATTAATTCTGGATATGCTGCAACCAAAAAGCAAGTTATAAAAATTAGAATTCTAAATTTAATTTGAAAAATTAGAATAAAATTGAGAAAATACAATATTCAGTACAATAGTCAGTAGATATATACACCGAAATTTTATATAAGTTTTTTTACATTTAAAATATAAATTTACTTTTTAAATATGCAGAAATAATAATACAGGAAACTGTATTTTGCTTATTGTAATTTTACAAGATTCTTAGACATAAATGTAAGTTAATTACAGTTAAGTTAATTACATGAAATGTAAAAGAAATTATAGGAAGTATATATTTTAAAAGTTAAGTACAAATTTTACAAATTTTGTCATTTATTTTGCGGTTTGGATTATCGAGAATGATATCACATTTCGTGATTTATACTTTATCTGTGTGTTGAAATACCAACAAAAATGACAGAGTAATGCGTAACAAACGTTCCGCTTAACCCACTACTTGAGGTAACGGGCAAATACCGTTAGACTAAATGGTGCCACGATGTGTGCAAACTCGAATCGGAACATGGGATAAGACCGTTTTCCACATCTATATAATATTGTATGAAACTTCCATTTTGCACAACAAATTGTAAAAAAAGGTTTTATTATTTCGAGATATGATTAAAAGATACATTAAATTCTAATAGCTACATATACAATATCATACATATACATTACATATATGTATATATAATTTTAATATGTGCCAGTACAAAAGCTCCACAATGTAAAAGATAATATTAAGATGATTTTTTTATAATTATTTTTAATGATTTTATTATTAACTGATATATTTCTCTTTTTTGATTCAAGGGAAAAAGTGATAAAAATATTTTTATCCAATGACAATTTAAATGACAATTTAACATCACATTGCGATATTTATATATACATAATTTTATAAATTAAAAGCTTTTAATGTATAGTTATATATTTAAATATTTTTGAGATATTCGATATTTTATATAATAATTTATTCATGTCATATATATTTAAAATTATTCCATCATAGAATTTACAATCTTTGTGCAAAAATTAGGAAAACAAAAAGTTTCATTGAAATCGTACAATATTCCAATTATAATGTGTTCAATTTTAAACTTTGGAATGTGTTCAATCTTGTATTTTCTTCAATAAATAAAGCATCTATTCTATTAGAATAAAAGTTTATTTTGTCTTTATATTATAATGAATTACATCTAAGTGCGAATTACGTCTAAGTGCGTAATCTTGTAAAAATATGTATATAATTTATAAGAAAATTAAAATCTTTGGATATACCTATACATTTGTATGTTCTTTATATTTATTAAAATAATATTGAAAATCTATTTTATATTGCTGATAAATATTAACTAATAATAATATAAACTTATTTTTAAACATGTGAATGTTTGAAAAAGCAAGTTGCATAATGCACAGTTTTATTACATGTTTTTTACACCGGGGTTCTCAGCGATCTTTCACGCCCCTGTGAAGGTGATGCAACTTATGAAACACAGCTGTATCTACTATTGATGCTCCGAGCTCGTGGGCAAGCTGAATCCTGATGCAATTCTTCTTAAATTAAAAATGAACTAAAAATGGACTAAAAATGAAACTAATAGAACTCTTTTATTTGCTTAATTCGATGTTCTCGATTCGTTCAAATCATAATTTTCCTTTATCGAGATGTACAATAAATAATATTTCATCGAAAATGCATAATGAATGATTATTTCATCGAAAATATTCTTTCATTGAATGAAATTTTTCAATAAGAATTTCATATTTTTATCTCGAAGAGAAATAAAGATATATCTTTTTCTTAAAACAAACCGTTAATCAGGAATAATATATAACATGCAACTGATAGATTAATGCAATACATGCTGCACTTTGCGTAAAAAGTTACATTCTCTACTAAGCAAGAATTGTTATCTTATAGACATCTAAAATTCACATTTATAAAAATACGGTTCACTCGAAAATAATCACATGAGGCAGCGAAAAAAATAAACCTCACATAAATCTGATCAACTTTGCTCGTTTTTGAATACTTTTATTTATTTTTTTCAAAAAAATCTCTATATATCCTTAAATACTAAATTAGAAAAACAGAGTAACAATGATATACAATATGTTATTAACAGTAGTAACTTTTTATCGGGATGAAAAGAACACCCCCATATGATCGTTTACATAAAAAAAAAATCACATGATTATTCCCTAGCTATAAACGCCAAAAATATCGACGATTTCTCTTAGACAAAACGACATGACAGCAGTTGACAACTTGTCAACGTGCATCGGCATAAACATAAGCTTCTCAGCGACACAAAAACACATGTTGACACATTTCTTTCGAGATGTCCCGCGGTTATGGGCGAGCATCATGGGCGCGATAATTATGTGGTTCCGCCCCTGGCGCATCCCTCGACGTCCACTGGTACGGCGTCCACGTGTTCCACCTGCCGTATCTAATCGGCCGGTCGCGAATCCCGGTGGCGCGTAAAGGCTCTGGAAGTAGATGGTCATGACGTGGGCCAACGAGCCGCGGCCAACTGTATGCTCGCACGGCCAATCGGCGCCGCCGTCTTCCTACGTGGCCGCCTACGTCCCGCCAATCCGCGCCGGCCACGATGTAACACTCCCGTTAATATCCCGGGTCCGAGTCCAGTGTCGATGTCAGTCGTCGTTTTACCGTTCGCCTCGATTGGGAGAGCCAGGAATAGCGGAGTCAGGACACATTCGTGAGAAGCGCGTGCGAGAGAGAGAGAAAGAAAGAAGGAAACGTTCCGTGGGAGCCGAGACACATCCAGCTGGTGAGTGAACAACCCGCCCGTTGTATGATATCTCGGGTGTGTGCCGGACAACGCCGACGTTCCGCACCGTCGAAGCGCCGCCGTGCTCCGAATTCTGTCGCACTGGAATTCGATCGTCCCCGCGAGAGATTTCCCGTTCTCCCCGGGGACTCTAACTCTCCGTTCCACGTCATCCTCGCTGTCAATCCCAGGCCTGTCAGTCGCAGTCGATCTGGATTAACGGCGATCTTCTCGTTATTATCCTCACGTCCATCCCGCCGCGCGTTCAATTCGCTAACGGACGGTGCGATATACTCTTTTTTTTTTATCCTTTTAAATTCGTATCTGCCGACGAGGGCGGCTCTCTGCCACGTCTGATCGCCTCGGTTCGTCCGTTACGAGTCAGATGAGGTCGTGTCTCGCGGAAATTCCCGCGTGTTTCGCGTGATGCGTTGGCTTCTGATATTCGCGGCGAATTGATTGATTTCGAGCGTCTCCGGCTCAACGTCGGATTTCTAGAATCATCTCTTCGATGACGTGTGACTCGACTTATCGAGCACGGAACTCACTCGGCTCGCGAATCTAATTGTGCTCATAGAAATTGAAGTCTTTCGTAATTTATCGTTATTTTTCTAGAACGATTCGAGGCGCATCATGCATCATAAAAAACGTCGTAAAAATTCGCGGACCGTCCTCTCGGTCAGATTGAACGTACCGATTCGCATGTAAAGACATACAATTTAAATATACGATATAACGATCGTACAAGAAAGTATATTTCCATCTTGCAAGCAGCACTTTATTCTACAACTTATCTTCGTGACTGATTTATTCTCTTATATATACGGAGTGTCCCAGACTTTGCACATAGAACGCACAGGCACGATTCTCTGTGGCAGAAGTGACTTTTGCGCTTGGAAAAATTTTGTCCGTTTTTTTTTTTAAATAAGAACAATCTAAAGTGAGCAGTCTAGAACGAGCAAGCGATCTTTTTTTAAAATGATAAATGTCACGCATGGTTGCTATGAAGCTTTTAGAGAAATAATAGAGCGGTGCACAGCACACGTCGCTCTTAATTCATGCGCTCGTTCGTTGGCTTTAAATTGTTCTCATTTGAAAATTATTACGCAATTTTGTCGGAGGAAAAAGTTGTTTTTTCTGGCGAAGAAAATTGCATCATGCATTTCATGTCACGAAATTTTGGACATTCTGTATTTTTCTATTGAGAAAATGAAAAAGATTATTATATGCGAATTATAAATGTACGTTGATTTAAAATTCATGCATGATTAATTTGATATTATATTTACTAATTAATAATTGATATCTGAACATAGATAGACGTTAATTGAATTACATATAAATATAAAAAAAAATCATAAAAAATTAATAAAAATATTCATAATTAATATACATATTACATTTACATATTACAGTTATAAAAAAAGCATTTATAATGTAAATTATTTTATGAAAATCTTATTTCGATGCATTAATTTTGTTATTATTGATAATTTAGGTGGAATTCTTACAAAGTATACGCAAACATGAAGGGAGTTATAGCTCTACTATTAGTGGGACTGCTCTCAGTCGCCACGATTGCGAAGGAAGACAAGGAGAAGGAAGATATTGGTACAGTGATAGGAATTGATCTGGGTACAACTTATTCTTGGTTAGTACATATGACATTATAGTATATATGATGATAATGCATTATAAAGAATGGCAGCAGACAATGATTCAACTTTTTTTATAAGCAAATAACTAAATGGTACTTATTTTTCAGTGTTGGTGTTTATAAGAACGGTCGCGTAGAAATCATCGCCAACGATCAGGGTAACCGAATCACGCCGTCGTATGTGGCGTTCACCAATGACGGCGAGCGTTTGATTGGTGACGCCGCCAAGAATCAACTGACGACAAATCCAGAGAATACCGTGTTTGACGCCAAGCGGCTCATCGGCCGCGAGTGGTCGGATCCTACTGTGCAACATGATGTGAAATTCTTCCCGTTCCCTGTTATCGAGAAAAACAACAAGCCGCATATCAAGGTCGAGACTAGCCAGGGTGAGAAAATCTTCGCACCTGAAGAGATCTCGGCTATGGTGTTGGGCAAGATGAAGGAAACTGCCGAGGCGTATCTCGGCAAGAAGGTCACTCATGCGGTGGTTACCGTGCCAGCTTACTTCAACGACGCACAGAGACAGGTAAGATTCGTGATAAGTTTGACATTTTATCTTTTGTCCAAAAAAATTGCATTTTCAAAGTGCAAAAGTATTGAATGACACAACATGAATATTGGAGTCTCAAATTAATATTCCGTTTGATGAATCTTTTATATCTTAAAAAAATCGTTATACTAAATTAATTTTATTACGTTCTCAATTGTAATATTTTTTTTTATATAGGCAACCAAAGATGCTGGAACAATTTCTGGTCTGGTTGTAATGAGAATTATCAATGAGCCGACTGCCGCTGCGATCGCTTACGGTTTAGATAAAAAAGATGGCGAGAAGAACGTGCTAGTGTTTGACCTGGGCGGCGGTACTTTCGATGTCAGTTTGCTTACCATTGACAACGGTGTGTTTGAGGTTGTCGCTACTAACGGTGACACTCATTTGGGAGGTGAAGATTTTGATCAGCGTGTAATGGATCACTTTATCAAACTGTATAAGAAGAAGAAGGGCAAGGATATCCGCAAAGACAACCGAGCTGTGCAGAAATTGCGTCGTGAAGTAGAAAAAGCCAAGCGAGCGCTCAGTGCTAGTCATCAAGTATGTATACTTTTTTTTGCATATTTTATTTTGGTCTTTAAAATATTTTGTCTTTTTTATATTATATATTTATAGTTTTTCATCAATCTAATCTGTTAAAATATTTCAGGTCAGGATCGAAATTGAATCGTTCTTCGAAGGTGAAGACTTCTCCGAGACCTTGACTCGTGCCAAATTCGAGGAGCTGAATATGGATCTCTTCCGTAGTACTTTAAAGCCTGTGCAAAAGGTCTTGGAGGATTCTGATATGAGCAAGAAAGATGTAGACGAGATCGTTTTAGTCGGTGGCTCAACCAGAATCCCGAAAGTTCAACAATTGGTTAAGGAATTCTTTGGCGGCAAGGAACCGTCACGAGGCATCAATCCTGATGAAGCTGTTGCTTATGGTGCTGCTGTACAAGCCGGTGTACTTTCTGGAGAACAAGACACTGATGCTATTGTACTTCTCGATGTTAATCCTCTCACTATGGGTATCGAAACTGTCGGAGGTGTGATGACCAAACTCATTCCAAGGTAAATACGAAAAATATTTTTTATGATTATTATTAAATCTATGAATCATTTAATTAAATCATCAAATTTATGGGAATCTTTGCAATAAATTTTTTATTTATCTGCGTAGGAACACAGTTATTCCCACGAAGAAATCTCAGATCTTCTCCACGGCATCTGACAGCCAACACACCGTGACTATTCAGGTGTACGAGGGCGAGCGTCCAATGACCAAAGATAACCATCTGCTTGGAAAGTTTGATCTGACTGGCATCCCACCGGCGCCACGTGGCATACCGCAAATTGAAGTAACCTTTGAAATCGATGCCAACGGTATTCTACAGGTATCGGCCGAAGACAAAGGCACCGGTAATCGCGAGAAGATCGTTATTACAAACGATCAGAATCGTTTGACACCTGACGACATCGAGCGAATGATTAAGGACGCAGAGAAGTTTGCTGATGATGACAAGAAACTCAAGGAACGTGTGGAGGCGCGCAATGATCTCGAATCGTACGCCTACTCGTTAAAGAACCAATTGGCAGATAAGGAGAAACTTGGCTCGAAAGTGAGCGACGCGGACAAGGCTACGATGGAGGAGGCTATCGAGGAAAAGATCAAATGGCTGGAGGACAATCAGGACACTGAACCGGAGGAATACAAGAAACAGAAGAAGGAGCTCACCGACATTGTTCAGCCGATCATCGCTAAGCTTTACCAAGGCGCGGGTGGTGGTGTTCCACCCACCGGTGGCGAGGAAGAAGACATCAGAGATGAACTTTAACTGCAAATTAGCGACCCGCTCGCTTCGGTTCGCGGTTTAGACTGATTACTCGCCTTCCGAGCAAATACTTTACAGAAGTGTTGAAATACATTTTACGAAGCTGAGCGAGGTATACTCGTGAGATCAACCATGTTCTCGCCGTACGTTTAGCTGAAAGTGGCTGTCTGGTTCTAAGTTTTACTTAGATAATATGTAGTATATACTATCTATTAATTTTAAGGCTTAGGTTAAGGAAAGCGTTTGAAGCTAAATGTGCAGTGGGAATACAAGTCTTCATCATAAATCTTACGTACATTAAGAAAAGTATGAGAAAATACTAATATCGAATTTTTAAAGAGATCGTAGATGTTTCAACGTAGATGCGTGGATAATAGTCGTTTGAAAACTTCGTTTTATCGTAGTTTATTCGATCACCGGACTTGTTCAACAAGTCTTGTATTATGACGTTGCCAATATAGTAAAGAAATCGCACTACAATTGTCAATCGCAATTCTGTATCGTGTTTGCCGAGAAGGAAATTTTCTTGACCTCGATGGAGGAGCTGGCGAGAGAAAAAAAGGCCGGGAGAGTGACATTTCCGACACTATGCTCGTTTCTCTTCCCGCGACACACACATACTGACTCCACTGCGTCGTTAATTTATTTTGAATTGTTTTGTATGTTTTCCCACTAAGTGTAATAATCGGTTAATCGCGGGGCTAAGCGCGTTAAAGGTTTATTCGTGAGTATACGCATGTATGACTGAATGAGAGAGTGAATGGGATGCGCGAACACGCGTCGGACTTGTGTAACTCGTATACTGCCAGCGAGTTGCCTCGTACTGTGTACAATGTAGCTGTGTCTACGTGTGTGAGTGCAACATGTATATCAATACCGCAAGAATAAAGATTTTTTCAGTAAACCGTAACTTCTATCGGGATATCTTGTGAGATTCGATCTTCCGCATCCCAAAATCTATCGATCTACCTATAGATCCTGAGACTCGATACATAAGTAAACAACACGAATATGAGGAAGAAACGTCGTAAAAACTTCCAAATAACGCCCAAATAATGCCTTTACATGCCTTTGAAACGTTCTTTAAAAACTTGATATCGCTTGGCTACGCAAGTGTTTACAATTTTTTTTTAAAACATATACACAGAGTCTTCTATATAGAAACTAGTGTCCAAGTCGAGTAAGAACGAGATCAAATCTGTTAAATGATATCAATTTGAAATTAATCGAGATTTATAATTCTAATTTATATATTAATTAATAATCTCTTCTATACGTTGACAGTCATGACAGGAGATTGTTTCGAGAAAATTTATTTAAGGATTCAGTTAATATCGTAACAAAAACAGCACGAAATTTGTAGACATAATCAATTTCCTATATCTTAATTCGCCTATTGTGTACCGAAATACAACTGTTAACAGACACGATGACAATAACATAATTCGCTCTTTCATGAAACGTTAATTTGTTCAGAGCAATTTGATCGCTGGGCTTACGCAATGGGCTTCACAAATTTACTTAGGTATAAAAATAATATCGAAATCGCGCGATAGGTGTTTCCCGCGCGTATATAGGATGAGAAATTTATAGGCTGCGTTAGAAAAGTTTCACGATGTCGAATTACAATAAAATAAAACTTCGAAAGAATTATTGTTAATTTATAGTCTATATCTCATTTCTTTTTGGTGAATATTGAGAGATAACACTTTTCTTTCGAGGATCTGATATCGAAGAATTATCGTTCCAGATATTTCACACCGCAAAAAACGAATGCTTCTGATTATTAATAAAATTATAATCAATTATAAACGTGTAATTAATAATTAAAGATAATTATTATAACATTATTTGGCCACATTTTGTTACATATTTTCATTTCTGCTCTGAAAACTCGTGAAATGGAAGATTTTAAGAGCTAGACTGACTTTTATACAGTTTAAAATAAAAATTTTGTAATTTATGTAAAAATGAAGGACGGTAAGTAATTTTTCCAATTTCGCTCTGTTTCGAAACTTCCCTCACGCAGCTCACACGCGATAAATTTTTTTTACTTTCCGCAGATTCCGATGTACCATAAGTTACTGAGTAATATATCGCTTTACGAATGTAGTCTATGTGTAATAATACTATTCTTAAAAGAAAAACGCTGAGAAATCAATTCGCAGCGGCAATAATTTCGAGCGCTGCGATTGGCACGTAGGAATCTAGAGAAGAAGAGTATTGAGATTTTCGAAAGATTTATCCCCTGTGTCGTACCGATCCCCTTCACAGCGCGAGAAGGAACGCGTGTTGGTCACAACATCAATTTTGACTAAAAAAATGCTTACGTTAAAGGCATAAGATTTCGAGGGGATCGCAATGCACACCGAGATGCTCTTAAAAATCTCGAGACTCTCCCGGATGCCTACGTACAAAACGTAAAAGAAAACCATCGAACAGGTAGCAGCGAGTGAACGGTATTATTTGCCTGTGAATCGATCCATTTCGCTTTTACAGGATTTCCGTATGTAAAAAGATAAGGCCAAAAGATAGGCATTCAGTGCGTGAATCACGAACCAGAAGGACAACTTTTGTTTTCGTCGTAACTCGCAGAGTTAGTACAATTCGCTTTTGCTATTTTACACTGAGAATAAGTAACGAGGTATTTCATTGCGGTTTGTACATGTAGAATTGAATATCGTTCCGTTCTTCGATTTCCCTTTTTTCTTCTTTCTTTCTTTCTTTTTTTTTTTTGTTATTTTTGGCATTTGCATCGAAAAACTTCGAACAACGGGCATTGAGCATTATCCTTTTTGTCTAGTTTCTTATTAGATCGTTGAAGCGACAATGTACTAATTATGGAATTATAAGTTTTGTTTCGTGTATATAATCCTAAGGAATATGGCGCTATTTCGTACTTATGTATACATAGTCAAGCGTAAGTCTGCATACGACTGAGATAAAAATGCGGAAAAAAGAACGTTAAAAATAATGGAAGTCCTTCGGTTGACTGTATAATCGTCCGTCGTATCAAATTATTATTTTTCTCCCAGAAGAAAAAAAGATCCGTGTGTACACGTAATGAGGCAATCGAGACGAGACGAATGGCTCCCGAATGTCGGAAGTACACAAGGAATACATCGATCTTATAATTAATCGCAAATGACACTTCTTTTTTTTTCTTTTTTTTTTTCCTTTTTTTTTCCTTCAGTAATCAAGACACGAATGCTGGCGGAAATGCCACTAATAGAAACAAAGTACCTATACGATCCTTAGTCCTATACAGATTTGCGATTAACCGACATTTGCTCCGAGACGGTCAATAATATGCGTGTCCAGCGGCGCGTTAAAATACTATAAGTATCGGATAGATATCGTTCGTGCTTCCTGGTCGAAATCAACAGGTCAGTCCGGAACCTCGGAGAATCGTCTTCGGCAAGGAAGCTAATTTGTCCCCTCCCCCCCCTCCCTCTCTCGATATCGCGAAGTGCAAGAATGTAGCGCGACCGAGACGCGGCACTTGGTGTCTCTCGATTCCCCGTTACATCCCTTTTGTTTTCCATTTTTAATAACTACATAATGCGGAATTTTCTATTTTTTTCCTCTTCTTCCTTACGCGGTAAATATCGTCATCTTCTTTC